GTATATGTAACATGTATGTTTACATATATATACATATACACATATAATAAGTACAGTATATAACCTTTAGATTGGCTTTTTTTTTACATGGCATAATTGCCTACAGATTCATCCAAGCTATTGTGTCTTTGCCCATTTTCTAATTGGATTGTTTTTGTTTATTTTACTGTTGAGTTTTGAAAGTTCTTTACACATTTTAGATACAAGTTCTTGTTGAACGTGTGGTTTACAAATACTGTCATCCAATCTGTAGCTTGTCAATTCATCCTCTTCATAGAATCTTTCACAGAACAAACATTTTTTAATTTTGATGAGATCTACAATGTCTTTTTAACTGAAGAACATGACAAGATTCTGTTTCTTGGAGATTTCCTGCAGTATTATGTTTATCAGGTTCCATAAGGTTCAAGAGTATAAGCATGTTGCTGTCATTTCTAGTAAACCAAATCTCTAAGCTGAAGGACATGTAGTGGTTCCCGTGATTTATCCTTGAGAAAAGTTGTCTGCACTTGTTAATTATAAACTTGAAAATGATGAATTAATCCTTTACATTATTTGGTTGTCTCAGCCAAGTTATGAATGGTTGATAAGATTCTAACATGTATGGTGCATCCAATGATCAGCTTTTCCATTTTCCCTTGCATACTGCCATGATCTAGGTAATACACTTGAGTGTGACAAAACTGGAGTTTGTCTCTAAGATTATGCCAAAAAAAGTAAGAGAGCACTTCTTAGATCCTTATGAAAGTACTGTCTGTATACAATGTTGAATTCCCACTATGCATATAAATAGATATTGTGAGTCTGGGTGCATGGGTATGCCAAAGATTGCTGGTTAGGACTGGCAACTTAATTTGTTGGGCCCGGTGCAAATGAAGATGTGGGGCTCCTTATTCAAAAATAAAAAATTCAAGATAATGACAGCAGTTGGAAACCAAGCTCAAGGCACTTCTCAGCACAAGGATTTGTGCCACTGCACAAATGAAGGCTGCATGCTCATGAAGCTGTACCCTAATGCTAAACATAGATCCTCTACCGTAAAATAAACATTTGCTTCAGAGATTGACAATAGGATGATATTAGGGTTGGCACTACAGGGAAGTAAATTCTTATACAGATCGGTAACCTCACCCATTTGCCTATTTGACAGACAGAAGTAACATTTTTAGAGATAACACAGAGGATAGTAAGTCCTTTCTGGAGGTATAAAGACAGCGAGTATGGGAGTAGTTTTCAGAAAAGCATAGCCAGTTTATTTGAGACTTTCAAAAGCTTGTGTATACATCCCACATGTGGGCCATCTTTGCCTCAGAGACTATGTGGGACAGACTTAAGGTCTAACATACCAGCAGAAGCAGTATCAGAAAGTGGGTAATCAATCTGTATCATCAAATGGCTGGGGATTCTTCTGGGATTTCCAGAAAGAAACACATTTACAGGGACCTCATATAGATAACAGATCTCCCACCATTCTGACTACTTGAGTGGCTTAAGGAAACAGGAAAGGATGTGATAAAGGAGTTTGAAGAGTGATTGCAATTGCTTCTGCTAAGACGGTATAATTACCTCAAGGAAGAGGTGACAGAATGGTGGTAGGATTAGTGATTGAATTATTGCTCATTTTTCCACTAGGAAAGGGATCCTTTGTCCCTTTAATTGTACAGATATTTTCCCTGTAGAAGATAGTGGTAATTGTGGACACAGAGGATATACTATTTCTTTGGACGACCCTCATTTAGGAAAAAGGCATCATCCTGTTTACTTTTTCCATGTGATTGAGCAAATGCTGGGCAATTAGTTTTCCAAGAGTCCTTTTCCTTACAATATTGCCAAATGCCCTTACCTATTTTTCAATAACTTTTATTTCATGAGTTATCTAATTGTTTAATTTAGAGAGCCATTAGTTTTACCTGGAGTTTTCCCTTTCTTTGATCACTTCTATCCTCAAATGTTCTGTCAACTCCTGCTACTTACTTGAAGAAGCAGAAGACTGGGTGATGTTCTGTTTTTTAATGATTCCATTTATTGAAAGTTTTTGAACATTTGTACAAAAATTGGAGAGGACAGTGGGAATGTCTTTTCTCTCTTCTAGACCTGAATATTCCTTACAAATTTGGGATAGACCAGAGGGCCCCCAAAATCAGGAACAGATTCTGTTTGTAAGTTTAGATTTTGGACCAATTATTACTAGCAGTTAAGACCTTCCGATCAGAGCAAGGGAGTCTTGTCCTATTTTAATTCATATATATATATATATTTTTTTCACCTAATGCTAGACCAGGTTGGACTAAATCTTCTTTAGGTATATTTAGTTGGTTTTGTCTATCCAAGTTTTAGCCCTATGGGCTGACTTAATTTGGTTCTGCCTTATGCCTTTGAGATAAGAATAGTTATAATGGAAATCAGCAGAAGCAGCCATCTTGGAAATGCACAGCCTCAAGCTTGCAAAGCTTGCAATCCTGCTGGGAATGCTATAGTTGGATTTTAATAGATGAGCATGAGTTAGGAGATATGGGACGGACCTTCTAAATAGCATATGGCTGGATTCTTTTAAATCTTGATTTGAAAATCTCCAATTTTGTTCAAAGAGCCAAAAAACATGAGTAACTTAAAGCTAAATTTGATATTGAATTTGATGATTCTGATGTTAGCTACCATGGTATAAAATCCATGTTTTCCTAATATCACTTCTTGCATATGTTTTTTGAAATTAAGGTAATAATACTAGTTGTGATCATAATTTGTAGAATTAAGCATTTCAGAGTCTTCAGGTAAATATAATTCCAAGACTGACTTGACAAGTATGGGTCCATTAGATAGATAACAATAATGTTAACAAATATATAGTATGAAATCATGATACCTTGGGGTGCCTGGGTGGCTCATTTGGTTAAGTGTCCGACTCTTGATTTCAGCTCAGGTCATGATTTCAGGGTCCTGGGATTGAGCCCCCATCAGGCTCCATACTCAGTGCAGAGTCTGCTTGAGGATTCTCTCTCTCCCTCTCCCTCTGACCCTCCCCCTGCTCGAGTTCTTTCTCTCTCTCTCACATAAAAAAATAAATCTTTTTTAAAAAGTCATTTTACCCCAATCTCTTAGAAACAAATTCAAAGTCATATTTGTGAATAGTAGAAGTATATTTGTTATCCTGAAAGAAAAGCTGGACAAGTCCTTTATGGAAAAAAAGAATAAATCTTTATAAATAAACTGAAAAATACTAGATTTTCAGCTATGGAAAGATATGCTGTTATACATGTAAACTATCTCCACACAGATCTATAGAATCAACACAATTATATAAAAATATGAAATGATTTTTCATGGGACTTAATATGATTTGTAAATAAATATGGAAATTCAAAGGGCCAAGAATAACTATGATATCCTGAAGAACAAAGACTGAGACTTGCCCTGCCAAACATGATGACATACAACACTATGATAAACTATAATAATTAAGGCAGAGGAAGAGATAAATAGACCAATATAACAGAATTTAGTGCCAAAGCACACTTATGGTAAGTGAGAATGGTGTTATACAGATACATCATAGTTCTAGGGTAACTCATTATCCATTAAAAAAAAAAACAAAACAAAAAAACAGTTTCAGTTCCATATTTGATTTAAATGTGTAAAGCAAAACTTTAAAACTTTTATCTGGAAATATTATAGGAGAATATTATGACTGGAATAATGATGAAAGGTGATTCTTCTATCCAATAAAATAAAGGTAAATGGTAGATACTCTGACCCAAATAGAGGACATCCCAGATTTGGCTTTAATACTTGCCTGCAAATTTTACAAATGGTATAAAAGAGGAGCATAGTTGCTTTCTGAGCTTCATGAAAAGAGAAGCAAAGATTTTATATACCTCTAATACTCCTGTTCCCAATTGTGGTTTGATTTTGAAAACTTCACCAAGTCCCTGTTTTACTAATGCAGATGAGGATGAAGATTTCCTAATGGAGGAATATTTAACTACATATTCTAATCTTGTCAAAAGACCTTTTTTAAAGAGTATCTTTATAAGAATAGTGGCTAAAAATATGTCCAAACCTGGTGTATGTCAAGACTGAGGGATATCAGAGAAGAAACAATGGTAAACACCACTGATTTGGCGGCACTTTGAATTTTGGTCTTTTCCCCTGATCTACGTGATCCTATTCACTTTTCAGAGTCCTCAAATAGCTGCTTCCTGCATTCTGTTTAGATTTTATAGTTGCATTTAGTGGAAGAGATAGGATGGAGTGTACTTACTCTATGCTACCTGTAATGAGGTGTATTTTTTTAAAGATTTTATTTATTTATTTGAGAGAGTGAGAGTGAGAGGGAGAAGCAGACTCCCCCGCTTAGCGGAGAGCTTGATGCGGGGCTTGATCCCAGGACCCTGAGATCACGACCTGAGCTGAAGGCAGACGCTCAACTGACTGAGCTACCCAGGCACCCCAGAGGTGTATTTTTTTCATAGCTTTGATAATTGGAATTTTGTTTCATTGGTTTATGGAGCATAGAAAAGAAATTAATTTTTGTTTATTTAACTTATATCCAACACCTTGCTAACCTCTTTATTCATTTTAATATTTATAAAACATTTGGGGTTTTTCTCTGTACACAATCATATTATCTACAACAATTACAGTTTAATTTCATCCTCTTTTCTTTAATCCATTTTTTAAATTATGTTCAGTTAGCCACTGTATAGTACATCATTAGTTTTTTATGTAGTGTTCAGTGATTCATTAGTGCATATAACACCCAGTGCTCATCACAACACATGCCCTCCTTAATACCCATCACCCGGCTACCCCCTTCCTCTGTATAACCCTCAGATTGTTTCCCAGAGTCCATAATCTCTCATGGTTCGTCTCCCTCTCTGATTTCTCCCCTTTCAGTTTTCCCTCCCTTCCCCTATGGTCCTCCATGCTATTGCTTATGTTCCACGTATGAATGAAACCATATGATAATTGTCTCTCTCTGCTTGACTTATTTCAGTTAGCATAAAAATATGGAACGCTTTATGAATTTGCATGTCATCCTTGTGCAGGGGCCATGTTAATCTTCTCTGTATCGTTCCAATTTTAATATATGTGCTGCTGAAGCAAGCACTAATTTTATCCTTTCCTATCTTTATATCTTCTTTTATTTTCCTTTTTATTATTTTACTGCATAATCAAGGACTTTAGAATAATGTTGAAACAGTGATACTGGACATCACTGTCATATTTGATTTGAAAATGAATACCTATAATATTTTACCACTAAGTGTAATATTTGCTATGTTTTTTATTCTTGATTTGTTAAAGGTTTGTTGTATTATGAATGGGTTTTTAATTTTCTCAAATGAGTGTTCTGTATCAGTTGAGACCATCACTTGTTTATCTACATTCAGTTAACGTAGTTAAATAGTGAATTCAACAATAGGTTTCTAATATCAAACCAACCTAGAATTCCTAAAATATAAACATTTTGACATGATTTATTATATTTTCATATATTTTGCTTGGATTCATGCAGTATTTTGTTTAGGATTTTTTTTTAATCTAGGTCATTGAATAGGTTGACCTATAATTTTATTTTATAATTCTTATCTATTTTTTATTTTACAATTAATGTTAGTATTATAAAATGAACCGAAGAGTGTTCTTCAGTGTCTGTTAGTTGGACACTTCTGAGTGAGACTGAAATCATCTCTTACTCTCATATTGTATGGTACTTACCTATAAAACTGCCTGGGTCTAGGGTTTTCTTTGTGGGAAGGATTAACTGATTCATTTTTTAATGTTCTAGTATTATTCAAGTTTTCTGTTTATCCTAGAGTCAATATGTAAGGATATTTTCTAGGTGCTTCTGGAAGTTTTCAATTATAAGAGCATGAAGTCATTTATATTTCTACTGCATCTATAGTATATTTCTTTTCAGTTCCTAAAATACTTTTGGGTGTTTTATCATTTTCTTGATTCATTCTAATTGGAGGTTTGTTTTATTACTATTTTAAAAAACCCCAACCATTGGCTATTTTAATCCTCCTGATTATGTATTTTTCTGCTTTTTACCTTTTTGCACTTATCTTTATTACCTTAAGTATACTTTTAAGTCAGTTACTCTTTTTTCAATGTCTTATTAACTCTGACACTTCATTAAATTTGATCCTTCAAATTTTTCTTGTATAGTATTTAAAAATACTTTTTAATACTTTTATGTATTTTTCTCCTTAAGTACTGTTTCAGTTACATACCGTGAGTTTCAATATGTTATTTTCATGATCATTTAGTTCTAAGTATTTTCTCTTTCCCCTCAGTGTATCTTCTTTGGTCAATTCAAACTATTTTAAAATGTTCTTCAAACAGGTAATGGTTTCTGCTGCTATTCTCCTTTAATTATGTTGTAAGGACACACTGTGGTATACATGATACTGATTCTTTGATATTTAAGATTTCTTCTGCAACCCACAATGTGGATCTTACTTGTAAGTGTTCCTTGTGTGGTTGAGAAAAGTGTATATTCTATGACTTTTGTTAGGTAAGGATTTTTAAATATGTCTATTAAGTTAAGCCTAATTGTGCTATACAGATTGTTTGTGAGTGTGTGTGTTTGTGTGTGTGTATATGTTTTCTCCTGCCTAACTTCTCAATTACTTAAAGAGTGTGACTGATTGGTAGTTTTATAAATCTTTACGTAATATATTTTGAGGTTAGTTTTTAGATCTCCTGAATATAGAACTATTTTCTCCAGCTTTATTGAGGTATGATTGACAAATTAAAATTGTATATGGCTAGGTTGTAGAATGGGAATTTTTTAAGGTATATGATGTGATGATTTTATACATATATCCATTGTGAAATTATTATAGTCAACACTTCTATCACCTAACATTAATTAGCACCTGATGGAGAAATACTTCCTTTCGTACGTTCTGTCTCTCTGACTTTTTAATATACTTCATTTTTATTTTTAATGTACTGATCTTCTTTTGGATTAATTAAGCCCTTTCTCTTAGTCAATTTTACTTCTATAGTTTTGAAAATCACATACTTCGGTATTTCACCTTTTAATGGTTATTTTGAAATTTTACTATGCATAATTAAATTTATAAGTTTCCAACTAAATTAATACTTTCCATCCTTCTCTTAGAAAATAAAAGGAAATTAGAATATGTTAATTATGATCAGTTCACTTCCAGGATATACTCTATGGGCCCCAGTAAATTTTTCCATAGGTTTATCTGTTCCTTACTCACTTTTACATTTGAAGCTTTCTGTCAGTTAGGAATTTCCTTTGGCTCTTGGTAAAAGTGACCCAGACTACAGTGACTTAAACAAATCAGGAGTTTATTTTATCATGTCAAAGAAGTTTGGAGGTAAGAGATATTTGTGGTTCCACAAAGTCATTAGGGTTTGTTAAAGAAAAAAAAAATCTCACTGGACAAGATGAGCAGAAAGAAATTGCTGATACTGTTGTCAGCAATAGAGAAAAGAATACAGACTGGGTCTCAGGACTCAACTCTACTGAAACAAAGAGCAGGAGAGTGTTTTAAGAGCTGTTGTGGCAGGGGAGGGGGACATCTTTGTTTACTAATTAGCTTTACCCAAAGGAAAAGTAAACTTTTTCCACTTTTCCTGGCAGGAGGTAGTTTTGCAAGTTGGAGCAAGGTGCCCACCTAAGTTAAGATTCTGTCCTTCCACAGAGACTGGGAGATAGGCTCTTTCTTCCTTTGATGTTAACATTTCATAGAGATGGTTTCTAGGACCTTGAGAAAGACCTCTTTGAGTCTTAGGCTTTAAGGAAATTCAGATACATTTCAAAGGGTGGGATTTGCAGTTACAAGTTTTCTAAAATAAATGTGCTAAGAAAAGGACTTAGAGTCAGGAAAAACCCTGCCTAAGATTAGTCAATTTGAGGGCAACATGAAGACCATCTTGGTCATGATCCATTTTTCTGTTTGCCAACCTGTCTTTTGTGTGTTGCTTCCAATTTCGAAGTCACATAAAGGCTGCAGGATTCCAGCCACAATGCTGTATTCCAGGTTGGAAAGAAAAGGGTGAAAAGGCAAAATGTTGACCCTCATGTTTGGGTTAGTCTTAAAGTGAATTAATAGAACCCTACACAGCAATTTCTGTTTACATTTCCTTGTCCATTTCAACCTGCAGAAGAGATTGGGAAACGTATACTTTCAGCTATGAATAAAGTCAGCCCAGAGTAAAATAAGAGTTCTGTTTTAAGGAATAAGGTGAAAGGAGATATTTGATAGCCAATACAGTCTCTCTGATAGCTCCTGTTTAACTCTTTATATCTTTACATGTCCTTCTTCCTTTCATACATGTACTTATTTGCCTGCCGAAAGGTAAGAACTGCTTTCTGCATCTGGTAACTGCACATAGCTCAATGTCAAGCAGCCTTCTTCATCAGGCCTACTTGAAGCTTGTGTAGTCTGGTCAATTATAAGTTAAAGACATTTATGTACTCTCCAACCCTGGGATACTTAATAAAAATAATAATAAGAAGAAATTAAGTAGCTGTAATAAAAACTTCCATTTAGAAAAGAGAAAAATGGGAACCATACAGCCATCATCTGGTGTGGGCCAGAACAATTAGCCTATCCTGTTTGGAAAGAATACTGAGAATGTATTTCCCTGGCAGTGGAGTGCTTTCTATGATTAACCCATCTGGCAACCTCTGGTTCTGCCTTCTTTTTCCCTCCATGGCCTCTGGCTCTTCCATCTGAGAGGAGCTTCTGTCTATTTTCTCTCATGGTCACAAGGTGGGCATTGGCAAAGCTATCCTTCCTGGAGGCCACACAGCTTTAGCTTTGTTCCTGTTGGTGGCGATTTGAGGGCGTGAGATTGTTTTGGTAATTTGACAGCAAGAGGCTATTATAAACCTGGCTTGGAGGTTCTGTAGAAATATTATTTCCTCAAAACTTGGTAGGTTCTGAGTATATTTATTTTTGGTCTAGCCCATGCTCAAGCAAATAGAGCCAAAGGTCTTGACTAAACATTGTTTTTAAGGCTAAGAACTCATCTTTAACTTACTGACCTCTATGCTCTGTCTATTCCACCAGCTCCTAAATTAATGGTGCTACTTCGAGACCAGTTGAAATAAAAGACTGTAAAAAGCAATGTAATAATCTGACCATTACCTCTGTGCTGTATTTGGTTATGATATCAGAAGTTTCACCATTTGTTCCATTAGATTCTGAAGTATTTATATTTTTAAATTATTCCAGCTGTGTGGTCAGTGATGCCCTTGAGACGTATTGTGGAGCCCCAGGTAATTCATCTGTGACATGCAAATAATCCCATTTTAGCATTGCTGTATTCTGTATGCTTTGAGGTGACACACAAACAAAAGAGATTACTTGTTCTAAGATACTGGCCAATTGAGAGAGCAGTGATGAGAAAAAGATGAAATGCAAACAGTTTCGGTTTCTGAAAAAATAAAAGCTTTTATTATATTAAATTTCTCTTTTATTTGTCGTCTTTTAGGTAATAAGTAAAAAACACGCAATTGAATTTACATGTTTTGTAAAAAATTATTTCTAATATAATAGTAATGATGACAGTGAGGAATAAGACAAGTCTCATAGCTGGGCACTGCTCTAAGACTCTCACATGGAATGTGTCACTTAATTCTCATGACACTCTGCTGTATCATGTTTTGGAAGGTGGCTACTAGAACCTCTGGTGTTATTCAGGAATAAAACCTTTAAGTTATTTAATTTTGGTACAGTTCCTATACATTTACATGAAAGCCAGATCTATGGTAAAGAAACAAAAGGTATGAAATTATACAGTTGACACATCCTGAAATGTTTATTCTCTGTGTCCATTTTTTGTTGCTATTTTAATTTTAGGTATCTATGCAGCACTTTGAGGCCTCATCATTCTCTAAGGGTTTTTTTTTTTTATTAAAATCCATCTAATGTTGATCCTTTTATAATGGACAACTCTGCCTGCTACAGATGTTACTGTAGCAACAAGGTGTGTATTAACCATGACTTTCAAGCCAGAAAGTTTCACATTTGTTTTGACAGCCTACAGTGACTTCTTTACCAAAAGCAATTTCTTGTGAGACTAGTGTGAACAAGTCCTTGCAAAGTGTAAAGTTTG